AAAAAATGACCCTGACTCCCCCTCCCTGGCCTGCGACAGTGTTTGTCTGCTTCAGTTTCTCCTCTCTTGGCTCCCCACCAGCAGAACAAGCTCATTATAAAGACAATGATTTCTTCTGCTGACACATTGTTGTTGTGTCTTACTCACACCTGAGCATCATGTTCACCCATATGTGAAACCACCTGTCCACGTGTGTGTGTGTGTGTGTGATTGTGGAGAAGGTGCATGATGACTTATTGTCTGCTCTACAGATCACACACACAAAACTATCCATTGTTGCCACTTTTCATTAGCTGCTGTCTCTCTATATCGCTCCTTTACATTTCGATGTGACAATCTAAATCCCTACAAGCAAAGCACTGTAACTGAGAGGAAAAAATATATACGTTCAGCTGTACATTTGGCTTTCCAATCAGATAAGTTCTAATAGCCGAAGTGCTGCGGTGTATGATATGAATCTTATGTCGGATCAGTTTAACCACAGCTCTTGCCGCACTGTTTAAGATTAGCTGTACAAATATTAGACGTTTGGTTATGACAAAAAAAAAGAGAAACCTCAAAACAGATTAAATTAAAGAACAGAAAATGGGCACATCTGTGACATTTTCTGAATGGAGCAAAGAAAAAGGGAAAATCAATGAGAAAATGTGCTGTTCTTTCTGGAGTGGGCATCTTCACAGCTCACCATCAGGTAACAATCTCTTTATTTGTTTCAGCCCTTCTCTGGGTGCCAAAGTCTGCTAAAAGACTAAGCGTGTGGTGTGATCCATCAGCCCCGTCCAAGAGCTTCAGCATGGTAATCCATCTAAACCAGACTCAGAATAGAATTAAATAAATACTTCCATGCTCTGAAACCTAGAATTATTTTACTACTGTCACTCTCGCTGTAGGCAGCGCTGCGTCGACTTAAATGAAAAAGAAAGGAAAAATAAATCTGATAATCTGAATTAGTAACACTGAGGAATGGGCGGAAAGTTTTTGGGGGCAGATTTAGCAATCACATTTATATTTACTGATTTATGATGCGTGTATTTCCATGTTAAATATGACTGATTAAACAGGAAAGATGGGCTTATTTGTTCTAGGTTTAGGTTATATATTATGTTTTGATTTAATCATGCAGAGTTTGATTCACCAGAACTTTTACACAGCAGGCTGAAAATGAAAAAAAAAAAAAAAAAGCAGTTATAAGTCAGACTGTTACTTCCAGCCAGTATTGACAATTTCTAAGCAACAAATATCCTACTTTTTAAATATTATTAAACTGAACTGTTGGATTATTTCCTGGGGGAAAAAAAGATCTATTAAATGTATGATTGTTGCATAAAATAAAACCTCTTTCTAATATCTAAATTAGGACAGTCCCTATTTAAAAAAAATCATTTATTACTCTAATAGGACTTTTAGGACAGTTTTAACAAGACAACAAAATTTAGACTAAACTAAACTAAAATTAGAAATAAAAAGTCAGTCAACATATTTTCGACTTAACTTCCTATTAAATAATAATACAATTAAAATAGTTAATAAATAATAAGTCATATGGCTATACTAAAAGGCTTGTTTATGGGAGAATTTGGGAGGTAAACGAGCAGAACGCGGCTTTACAGTGAACAGACGAGAATTTATCTGACATGAAAATGTGTTGTACACATTTTCTCGCGGGAACAGCACAAGAGTGTGACTGTCTGTCTGTGTGTGTGTGGCCCTGAAAAATAAAGCAATTATAGGCATGTATATTTCCAGCCTTATATCCATGAACACCACATATACACGCAGACACACACACACACACACAGAGACTGACACAAACCTGACAGGCATGTGCGTTAATGTGCTGACTTTGACCTTTACTTTATTATCCAAAATGGGGCGTAAAGTTGCTTTTCACGTATTATTCTTACAGCATGAAATATATTATTTTATTTTTTGCATTGTTCTTTTATTGTTTCAATATATTAAATAACTCCTAGTCGTTAGTTCACTCAAATCACTGTCTAGACTCAATATACCGACAAACGTGTATTTTTCATGTGTGTAATCGTTGCTTTTATTTTATTGAATGGATTATTTGATGCACATTTAGGCCTGAGAGACTTGCAGCTTGTTTTAGTAGGCCTAGTGAAAATATTCGTCAGCATTATTTTAAATCAGATTTCTTGTTCCTGTTTCCTCTTGTTAGTGAATTAATCCAACACTTCTTGACGTTTAAAATGAATGTAATTTGGTTTCATTGTTATTATTAGGAATTAAATCAGCGCAGAAATCAAAACCCAGCGGAACACATGTTAACACATGACAGATACAACTAAAGACTGCTGTATGTTTTATACTTAAAGTCGGGTGATTTCTAAATATATAGCGTCATATTGCCACATGGATCTGTACAAAATACAACTGAACGCAAGGTTTAAATATTCACTTTTATTTCTTTCCAAAAAAAAGTACTATAGGAAACTCGTCATTTAAATATTTCGACAAAAAGATGATAATTCATGATCAAAATAAAAAAGGCGTCTGCTAAAAGTGTTTTCTTTTTTTTTTTTTGTCCATAAAGTTGAGAAGGGGGGAGATCTTTTAACATATCTACAACATTCTTTGAAAGCAGATTCATCACACTCTCCGACGCTGGAGAGAAACTGTGAGCTTCTGCATAAAATGTCTCTGTTACCTGAGAAAACACGAGTTCAAAGTCCGCTTTATTGATTATTCATTGTTAGCAGTGCTGATGTGTTTGGCCAGGTCCACGGTGCCACGCTGAGTCTGTAGTTTCTGATACTCCTGGTGTAAACTGAGGAAGTGCGGGGACGCCGCGGGGTGGAAGAGCGCGGGGGACGCGTAGGCAACGCTGGAGGTCAGAGGAGCGGAGTAAGCGGCGCACTGTGCCGGGGAGAAGGCTTCGATGCCGGGCTGCGACTGCAGGAAAGCCTTGGCCGTGAGGGCGCTGCGGGAGAAGAAGCTGGACAGAGCCGGCAGGATGCTGCTGACAGGTGGGATGGTGGCGGGGCCGCACGCCGAGGGCGCATGGTGATGGAGGTAGGGGTAAATCTCCAGACTGGGCAGCTGCAGGGCGGCCGCGCTGAGCCCGTAGGCGCCGTGCGGGAACCCGTGCAGCCCGCTGGGCTCCAGGTGCTGCTCCTTGAGCGGGTCGAAGCGAAAATGCTGCCGCTTGAAGCGCTTCCTCCGCCGCAGGAAACTCCCGTTCTCAAACATGTCCGAGGAGTTTGGATCCAGCGTCCAGTAGTTGCCCTTCCCGGGGTTTCCGGGCTCTCTGGGCATCTTTACAAAGCAGTCATTGAGCGACAGATTGTGTCTGATCGAGTTCTGCCAGGCGGGGAATTTCTCCCGGTAATAAGCGAAGCGGTGGCTGATAAAGTCACAGATCTCGCTGAGGGTGAGCCGTTTCTTCGGACTCTGCAGTATGGCCATCGTTATCAGAGCGATGTAAGAGTACGGAGGCTTCACCGACGTGGGACCTTTGGTTTTCGCTGGACTGTAGGAGTCCCGCTCTTTACCCTGGCTGCTGGAAGTGTCCGTGCTGCGGTCCTGCTCGCTCCGAGACTCATCCAAAGGTAAGAGTTGCTCCTCTCCGCTGTCTTTGAGTCCTTCCCCCACTACGTCGATAACAATATCCTCCATGATTTCCAAACCCAATGTCATAGTAGATGTCCGCGCGGGTAAAGCCAACACCACCTGCCAACAGGTGGGAGAGTGACAGCCCTTCTCTGAAATAGGACGAACAGATTTTTTTTTACGCACGACTCATCTCCATTCACAAAAAAAAAGTGAAAATCCGAGCACAGTCCTCCTACTACTTCTCACGAAGCAGACTCTCCAAAACCGCAACGCATTAGCGCCGATATCCTCTATTTTGGTGCCTGGAAGCGCAAAAGAGAGCGGTTAGCGAGCGATTGTGTGTGAAAGCGTAAAAAGCCCGTGCGTCCTCTTAGGTGTCCAGCATCATCTGTAATCTCTGTTGCTTTCCTGTGGGTCGGGTGGATGTGATGTCACGTTGAGGCACGAGGAAGAGGATCCTGACCAATGAAAACGACGCAAAGGGTACCGAGAAGGCCTGTACCAGCCTCCCGGTGCACTCTCATCATCATCAGCGCATCAGTGCCAAGTCGACGCGGACATTAGAGACCCATTCAGAGAAAACATCCTTATGAGCAGGAAATCAGAGAAGACTATTTATAGAGAGGATTTCACTTTTTTTTTTTTATTCCAGATGTTCATTTCAGAGTTGCGTTCAAAGTGTTAAATTGTAACAATAAATATCAATAAATAAATTAAGTAAGAGCGAAAGGTTGGTTGCGTAAAAGTATTATTCAACTTTTTGGAGGCTGCTCAACTAAAAGTTTCTGTTATTATTTACCAAAAGTGGTGTCAAAGTGTTTTACGCGCTTTGCCCCTAAAAGCAGATTGAGAAACATGGAGAAACTGTGCTGAAAGTCTAAGTTTGTATTCTCTTGATATCAACCCCAAAACAAGGAGTGTTTGTATAAAGCAACAAAGAAAATACTGTCCTCTGAATGAGCAGCGGTGTTGGAAAGTGATAATAAAAGGACCATAAATACATATTTTAATTTCCGAATGAGCTGAGAGACACTCTGGGCACATCAGATCACCATCCTGAATTTAAAGACTGAGGGGGGAAAATCCCCAAACACTTCTCTACGTGAGGCAGAGACTTAAGTCTTAATCCCGCTGCGAGGGCTTCTGCAGCCTCTCTTTACGCACACACTTGACGCACAATTACATGTTTTCAGACGTACAACAGAGGATAAAACTGCAATGACTGATTTTGTGCTTCTGTGAAAATAATAATTTGTTGCCTGCATGGGGACTTTGAATAAACTGATAAATGTGTGTGTGTGTGTGTTTTGTCTAAACTTAAAGAAGTTGCGCTCGGGCTTTCCTTTCCCTGAGAGACATATTGATAACCATCACCATGTGTGAAATGGAGAAGAAATAATATTTGATCTGTATAACCTGAGATTTCTCCGTCTGAAACTCAACACTCTCTGTTCTCCATTTGAGCGCAAACCTATCAAAGTCCACCATAACCCCGTCAGATTATCTTCTTTAATAATGGGCAACTGGAGGCAGAATGGTAATATTGGGATGAAAGTAATAGATTTTCACTTGCTCAGACATAAAAGAGAAGTGAGAAGAGGAGGGCGCTTTTGGTATTGTTGGGAGGCCTCTGGTTGTTTGTGTTTAATGATGGAGCCCTTTGTTGGGGATTCCCACATTTCCTGCCTCTAATCGTATTGATACCTCGGGGCACAGGGGGACTGGGTCCGGACTGGGTGGGCTATACGGTACCAGCAAAGCTGCAGATGATTTCCCAAATTCATCACGCATGTACTCAGATTGGAAACAGGCCCGTGCGCGTTGTGTGGTTTCAATAAGGCGAGAGCAGGAGCGTCAAATCACTACAAAAGCTGAAGGTATGGCACTAACTATATATATATTTCCAGCATCATCGGACTTCAGAACTTGGAAAGCCACGTGTCCGAGTCATTTCAGGGGAACCGACGGCTGATGGTGGACAGGACATCTTCAGAGCTGATAATGCATCCAACTGCTGGCAATGAACGCTTCCCGATGCTACATTTACAGACGTGAGCTCCAGATTTTTTTATTTCTGGTAATTCTGCAAGAACCCCCCATCATAAAAGCTATGCAACATTAAAGTTGGTGCTCAGTTTAAGGTGTTTTTTTTTTTCTTTTCATAAAAAGGCGAAATGTGGAAACGTTCAAATCAATAAGGTCCTTTTTTTCCTCTTTTTTTTTTTAGCCAGAAGATACATTACGCACACATTTTAACAATAACAAATCTGTGCTATCTAACAAAAACGGCCATTGTGGAGATTTTGTATCGCAGATGAATAAGTGGGAGAGTGAGCAGCCACCAAGGACTTGGTGTAATAACATCATTTGGCAGGAACTAAACAGGCCTGGGGGATCTCGCTGGATCATTCTGGATAAATGAACCTACATCCACGCAGGTCAGAAACAGGGGTTAGATGAAGCTGTTACGGGCTACTTCAGTTGAAATGTTTTCTTATCTCAGTGAAAAAACTTGAAGCCATTCGCATGATTCAGAGAGTGATAAAAACCCGAGCGTGTTTTTCATTGGGAGAGGTTGAATCGGCTTCAAAGGACTGAGGTTGTTTTCACATAATGCCCCCCTCTCTCATCTTGATTCCCTTAAAATCTTGGCAGTGCAGTGGACAATAATATAACGTGTAATTTAAGGTATCATGAATCATAACTGCATGAAACAGAGTCAGACAACGGAGAGGTGCTGAGCCAAACACACACACACACACACACACACAGATAGAGTTTAGGGGAGGATACATGTGTAAATTTAATGAGCTGAACTGGTCATTAACACAATATTTATGGGCTGAAAAACGGCTCCATAACATAGAAAGTGATGCAACCTGCTCTCTGTATCTCATTGTACTCTTGTCTGTAACTACTTTCCTCTTTAGTCATTGTGTTGTGTGGAGCCATTTATGAGGAATGACACATCTCCGTCTGAGGTCCCATCAATCACAAGACAGCGGCTCTCTGACCACCTGGCGCCATCTTGTGGTGTAAAAGTTAAAGGCCTCTAAAGGAAAATGCATTATGCCATATATAATATGCCATATATAATAAGTATTAAATAAACATCTCTCAGTATAACTAAATACAATTCAACAGCAACACAAATACAGTCTCGAAGCCAACCAAGCAGTGTTTTAAAGACCCCTTCTCCAGACTTATATTTAGACATAGAACGAAATAGTCTGCTTGGAGCAATAATGTGTGTCTGATATGTTTTTCCCACAAAGTCAATGCTGGAGTATAATTTACAAATTAAAAGCCTCAAAAAGACATCTACTCTTTATAACTCATTAAAAATACCAGAACCTATGAATATGAAATGTTGTTCATTTCTAAAGTTTTCCTGTTGGACACAAGATGTCTCCTACTTCACTGTAAAATCCATTATGTATGTGCACTGGTGTGATTTTATACAACACACTTGTATAAGTTGAATACTGGACTCCAAAACTGCCCCTCAAAATCTGATTTTCAGCGAGAACAGAGAAACTTTCCACTTTCAGCAGATGAACGTGAATCCTTCTAGTGTCAAACTCTGCTCAAACATCAGACTGCACAGTGAAGCTCAAACATCCAACTGTAGGAACCAGTAGGAAAAACACATTTCTGAGTGGAGGGGGACTTTAAATGTTATGTAGCAATTTACATTTGATGATAATAAATGAATGATGGCACCTTGGATTACAATATTTCACTCAGTGAAATCATGATAAAGCTGCAGTGAGGTGTTATTGGAACAAGCAAATACAGTGACAGTGTCACAAAGTTAACAGGTTAAAACACAATTAAAACAAAACTAATAGTGGCAATTTAGGCTAAATTTAACTAGAAAAAAATCAATTGAAAACTAAAGCTGCCTTGTACAGTGAATGACATTGAATCTGAATACAATGCATGCTGGGATGTATGCTAATGACGTTCAATTGCATTAGTTGATTGGATAGATAACGTTCCATTTATAAAATAGCCTTTTTGCTTACATTGAGCAGTATTTATTAATGTGCCCTGTTCCTGTTAAATAAACCAATAGATAAATACAATACTATACTAAGTTTTGATTTCAGTTTTTTTTAGAAAGTTTATGTCATTTATTGTAGTAGGATCTAGTGGCATCTAGTGGTGTAGTTGCAGATTGCAACTTTCTCACTTCACCCTCCTCTTCAAACACAAACTACGGTGGAAAAACATGAACAGCGCTGTCTATAGCCAGTGTTTGTTTCGTCTCTTCTGGGCAACAGTAGAATCATGGCGGACACCTAAATGTAGAAGAGCCATTGTTAATGTCATCAATAACGCCTGTCGTTTAGACCGCATCTACTAACTAAACTGATCACAACACAAGATACACATGGATTAGAGTGGCTTACCACCTCCGCTAAACAGTTTACTGGCTTCAGTTTCAATCACAAGGCTTGAGTTCCTGATCATTCAGGTGATTTGTGGGTTGAAACTAACAAACAAATGATAAATAATTTATGATCCGTTTAATTCATTTAAGGGAATTAGATGGTTTTATGAGGACACCATTAGCCTATGTTTATCTCATGTAACTTTTACTTTATGTTTAGTTTGTGTTCGGCTTCTGTAACTTTACAGTTTGGGGCTGTAAGGCAGAGAGAACAGCACTTTGGGAGATTTGCAACACACACAACAGAAGAACACAGACCAATATCAAATAACTCATGAATATGCTAATATGCTGAATAACATACTGATAATTCTTTGAAGGAGGCAGCCTCCAAGGAGGAGTGGGGACACAGAAATCCAATGTTGAAAATATTCTGTTTTCTGATGCAACTGGAATATAATTTACAATTCTGTTTACAATTAAGCTCAGAGTTGAACTAAATGCCCTCCTACCTCTGGTAAATGTTTGGTTTAACTGAAAAATGTAAAGAGTTCCTGATTTATCCAACAGAGGGCGCTCTCACACCAATAATTAAGATCTTCTGGCTTCCAACGCAACCTTAAACATTTCCAAGCTTTTGAAACTGGGCTGAGACAAGCATTTTCTATACACACTTATTTGCTCGGGTACATTTGGGGTGCAGTGTGGGATTTGAATTGATGCTAACAAGTGAACTGAGCACCATGTAAGACACACAGTGCACTTTGGTCAGGGTGTCAGAACGCATCAGTGCTCCGCTGACCTCAGTGAGCATTTTTCTGCATGCCTTGACTCTGAAAACTACTACACCACGCCAAATGCTTGTGGAACGCACGGCAGAAATTTCCAACATTATTTTCTATTGGGACTGACAGCAGCGGTTTGCCTTCAGTGCTGTGTTCGCCCCTGAGTCAGCTGGGGCCTGAGGATGGAAGGAATGCAGATGTTGTGTTTTAAAGCTCAGCACATACCATGATGAGTGATTGTCAGGGGTTAGGGCGCTGGCTGGAGTGACTCTGTATGGAAGACAAAAAGCT